AGCAGAGATAAGCCGATTGCTGAGAACAGACTGCAATGTGATCGCTGCGTTCAGGGGCTGGGAAAATGGGAAGAGGGATTCTGGTGCATGAATGGTGCCGTTTGAATGAACGTGCGAGGCGCATAGCTTTGCAGCGTTATTTACATTCCTGCAGCACATTGGAATTCTGTAGCATGTTGGTCTCAGAGTCCCGTGGCCTGAATCCCAGAAAGTGGGAGGGGAGGTGTGTCCTTGATTTTTGTGTTAAAATGTGAGAGCAGCGTGTCTTTCAGTCAACATCTGTAATAAACCCTGCCATCTGGCACACGCCTGATGGAGTCCCACACACAGGTCTGTTCACGGGACCATGGCAGCAGCTAATGATTATTATCATTATGCATTCATCAGCATATTATTTTTTGACTAATCAAGTACTTGTTTGGTTTATACAACCTCAGAAAGCACTGAAAAATGATTATCACAATTTCCTAAAGGCCAGGATGTGTCATCAAATGTCCTGTTTTGTTTGAGCACCAGCCTAAAACCTAAAGATATTCAATTTATTATCACATAAAACAACAAATCTTCACAATCAAGAACCTGGAACTGGAGGTTATTTGGCTTTTTTAGCTTGAAAAATGACTTAAACAATCAATCAATAATCAAGAACAGTTGCAGATGAATTTTGCATGCAATTAATTGACTAACTGTCACGGCTGGCATGGGGATGTTTTACCCGTTTTTATGTATCTGCTCATGAGTGGAACCTCATATATCTACAGTTTAGTTTGTTGTATGAGTCATTACTATATTATGGAGTTTCTCACCCAAACGAGGCTCAAAGGGACATTACAGTGTGCTTGTGAGAGCTGTTTTAATATAATCAATATGTTAATTACACCAGCTTTTCTTTTCAAATGTCGTACTGGCAGTAAATCACGTTGGACACCGAATCCCTAAGGTCTTCATCTTGAAAACATTTATTGGAGCTCTCTACGACTGTCAAACTAGCTGTTGCATTTGCCCATAAAACTGTCCTTGTGACTTCACGTAGCTCTCACTTCTTTTTTTTTTCATGAAGTCATGACTATTGTCCTGATTTAAATCCTGTGACTCCACCAGAGGATGTATTGAAAAGTGGCTCCAGTGACAATGCCCTGCCTCTAGTCTGAGCTCTGAGCGTCACGAAGCGGGAGCGTGTTCACTGCTGATGTTGCATTCCAGCTGGAACAATCCCACTGTTTTCCAGACCTCAAAGTGGACGCCTAAATTGGACAACAAACCCCCCCCCTTCCCCTTCCCCCACCATCACCACCACCACCACCACCACCACCCATACACACCCCCTTTCCCCCTCTGCTCTCCAACCAACCAACCAACCAACCAACCCACCCACCACCCACTCCTCCCATACACGCATCCCCTGGTCTCCTGTCCTTATTTGGGTAGAGACGTTCTGAGCGCTGGGTGGAGGGGGGGGGGTCAGAGGAGGGAGGGAGGGCGTTGGGTTGACACAAGGGAGGCAGGAGGAGAAACAGTGAGCACTCGCAGCCCTTTCTTAATAAGGACATGTCTGGAATTCAGGCCCCTCTCTCAGTGAAGAGCTTCTCTTTCGTAGCACCTCACTTGAACGCACTCTTGTGAGCACTCGGGGCTCCGTCCAGATTGTCATATCCGCGTGTTCCACCGAGCAGCGTTTGCTGCTCTTCACAGCTCGCAGTGCGAAGGAGGTTTGCAGTGTTTTCTCTGCTATAATTGGAGATAAACAATAAGAGTGGCTGGCCCTCGCTCCCCGCCTCACTGTGCCACCAGTCTTTGATTATTGCCCCGGCTTTACTGAAGCTGTTGCCCCCACAGCACCTGTGCATTCATTAATGAAATACTTTGGGCTGCCTGAAAGACATTTCCACACCAGACCACACAGGCAGCATCTGCTATACTCGAGGCTGAGACAGAAATGTAAAGGTTACACCAGTGTTGATGTCACTGTGTGAGATTTTAATTTGCAGCATTGCACAGACTCCTGACAGCAAGACAGTGAAACGAGCTGCCATAAATGTTGAGATAGCTGTACAGTAATGTGTAACATGTGGCGTCTGTTTTCTTTTGCATTTTTAAAAAAGAAATAGATTAAATTCCATTTAGGGCTGCAACTAATGATCATTTTCATTTTTGCTAATTATTTATTCTTGAATAATCTTTAAGTAAAGTGTCGATCAGTTTTCCCTGATCGACATATTGCGTGCAGATAATCGTTTTAGTCATTTCTCAAGCAACAGTGACTTGTAAATATTTGCCGTTTCCATTTTATCAGATGTGAAGATTGTAGCTTTTCTTTGTCATGTGTGACGGTAAACTGAATATCTTTGGGCTGTGAAGACGCTTGAAGACGTCATCTTGAGCCGTTGTTAATTCTAACAAGCGTTTTTCATAATGTTCTGACATTTTATAGACAGAAAAATTAATCGAGTAATAATTGGCGGATTAATCGATGATTAATCCTGTCTTCTTTCTGCTTCTTTGTCTAACAGTACAGTCACTTTACTGCTATACCAGACAAAGAAAATCACAATATCCTCACATTTTAGAAGCTGGAACCAAACAACACATTTCTGTGTGGTTTTTGTCATTGTCCTTTGGATGCATATTTTGTAGAAAGTATCAGGCCTTTTGGCAGGACAGAATACGATTGAACGAACCCAGACTCTGGTCATACGTAGTTCGCTGTCTTTGGTGGGGATCCAGCTGTGTGATCTGCGAGGACTGAGACGGATCATTTGAGCTGTTGATGAGTGCTCAGTTTCAGTGTTGAGTTTTCACATTGTGACCCTCTTCCACAGGATCCGCCATAACCATTACCCCCTCAGCTAAAATTAGCAGCTTGACTCGTGGATACCTGTCAAACTCTGGTTTTGGTTCCGGCACGTCCATAAACATCATGTTGTATGTCACGTGTGGTAGAGTATAACTGCAGGAGCAGGAAACTGATCCGCTCGTCTCCGATGGGGAGAGAAAGGAAACATCACTGATCCTCCATTTCTGCTTTGTCACCAGTTCTTGGATGATTGGCTGATGATTGACTGATGATTGGATGATGGAGGACTTGGTGTAACTGCAGCAGCTTTCTAAATACTGAGACTTTAACAGAGGAGAAGGGAGATTTCTGGGATATTATTAATTTCCATATTTTATTTTATTTACATTTTGTATTTTATATTGTAGATTTTCTGTCCTATCACAAATGTATCCATATAATGTAAAATAACATCATGGCCACACAGTTCTGGTGTAATTACACTATGAAGCATCACACAAGTGACACAAACCTCCTGAGAGAGGTCAAAACAAAACTACACAAAAGCGATAATCTATAATACCTTTATTTAATTTCATCATATAAACATTAAATGTTCATATAATTTGATCACTGTAGTTTTTCCCACAGGAACACTCACTTTGGCGCTCTCTGTGTTTATCCGTTAAACTTTGATTTTTGTCAGCATCTGCAGAAATGCTAAAGTACAAACACAAGCATCCTTAGAGGATCATGGTTACCTCATAGACTTCCATCTCAGAAACAATACAACGCTGAAAAGGCATCTTGAAAAATACTTAAGATCTCTGCCTGCAGTCAGCCATAAGCCAACCACATTGAGACACAGTTCCCAGACCACAAGAATTCTTTGAGGCCAGTGCTGATTAGTGAGGTCTTTAAACTTCGTTTTATGGAATATCTTGAATTCATTTGGCCATTTCAGAGAAATAAAATTGAGGAAATTATAGTAATAATTACGGTTAACATTGTTTATTCATACAAATTTAATGACTGCAATAAAGAAAATGTCAAAGGAAGCCAAAACTGTGACCTATAGAGGAATGACATTCCTTTTTTAAGCTGCACATTCATTATGCTTTACATGAACTCACACAGTTGTGCTCCGTCTTTGCAGCTACGCAACTAATTCAGTTTATGTAGGTATCTAAAGGAAAACCAGGAGACAACCTTGGCAGGGTTTATGTTCGCACTGTACGGAAGCTGATAATCAGGTTGTAGACATAACTGAACTGAATTTTATCGAATCCCTGCTCCACGTTCTCTTGTATTTTATTGATCCTGCTGGCGATGAGCACTGCATACCGTTAACCCGACCCCCCACGCTGACCTCTTTGCCTGCAGGTTAGCGCAGTGCTCAGTGATGTCTGTGAGCCGCAGCCATGGATGAACACTGGTCCTGGATTCATGAAACTCGCTCAACCAGCTCGAACGCCGAAACATTTTTTTTGGTGTTTTTTTTTGTTTTTTTTCTCCAAATTCCTCATTCTTTCCCAACTGGCCGCCTAACATGAAGATCACAAAAATAATATGATGATAAGACATAAAGAAATACGGTGCCTGGTAATTATATGTTGGATCGATTCAAAGAGGAAATGAGTTAACATTTTTAACTTCCGTCCTGAAGTTCATGGGGTTTTTTTGAATGGGTTTTTGGTTAGATGACTGAAATAAGGTCTGTGGTTAACACAAGCTCAAGACATTTTCACGTTTTATTCTGTGACATAAAATACGTCAGTAAAGGCCTCACTCTGGATTTTTTATTTTTTTATTTTTAGCTTTTGCGTGTCTTAAAAAAGGCTGGTTGCTAACAAGTGGCTACAGTGAGACTACAGAGGTTGTTGGGGACGTTAAACATCAACCGATCTACTGCCACAGCCTCGTGTTTGTACTCTTTCTACTCGTTTATACTTTCTAAGAGGAAAGGCTTTTGTAGAAGAGGTAAGCGATAAATTAAATGAAATGTTAGAAGCTTAGTGGTGGTGGTGTAGTTTGTTTATAACATTTTTACTTTTTACTTCTGGTGATTGGATTTAGGCTTCAAAAATAATAAAAGTATCGTTCATTTGTGAAATTTGTTTTGCTGAACAAATCGTAGAAGTATCATAAACTGTAGTTTGTCACAGTCAAGTTGAAACAGCCATTCGTTAATTGTTCTTGCTCTGTAACGATGTTTTGTCTTCCTCAGGTCTCCTACAGATCCTTTGATATTGGGGCTCGGGGTCGGGCCCAGGGGGAGCCGCCACCATTGCGTCCAACGAGTGGAGCGCCAACGGTAGCCCAGAAGATGGGCTGGACGGGGACAACGAGGACAAGACCATGGACGGGGACGCCGAGGGCGTGTGGAGCCCGGACATCGAGCAGAGCTTCCAGGAGGCCCTCGCCATCTACCCTCCCTGTGGCAGGAGGAAAATCATCCTGTCAGATGAGGGAAAGATGTATGGTGAGTGCACTGGATATCAGCCAGAGAGACAAAAGAACAGCAATTACATGGAAATCAGTTCCATAATGAATGCACAAAAATGAGAAAAACCCACCCATTCCTCAGGGATTTGTGGCTGAAAGAAAACAAACATCCACCATAGTGCCTCGAAAAGAAAAATGAGAAAAATACGTTTCTTTCTTGTGCTCGTGTCACATCTTCAACAACGAGGTGAATGTTTTCCTTCTGTAACAAGTCTGTACCTGTTGTGCTGTGACCCAGGGGCAGGTTCTTCCAGTCTCACCAGCGCTCTCAGTGCTGGTTATTACCGTCCTGAGAGCATCTCAGCTCCCCTCCCCTTGATTTACACCTGTCAATTTCCTCAGTGTTTTTTTTACGCCTATCTTTTATGGCTTCTTCTCTTCCTCTCTACGTTTTCCTTGGTAAAAAACCTGCTCTTTGTGTTTTCTTGTCGAGCGGTGCGGCGGTATCGTTGGGAGAGTTTTGCCTGTAGGTGACTGGTTGGGTTTTCTTATTTTTTTTTTTTTCCTGGAGAAGTGTTGTGTTTGATGCTGGATGGCTCGGTTAAATTAGCGATAATTAGCACAGCGTGAATCGGGGCTCAGGAACAAAAACATCCCATTGGCATGCTGTTCTGTCGAAGATTTCAAACATCCATATGGTTTCAGATTAGTTATTCTGTATCCTGCAGCGGGTTCATTAAATTGCAGGTGTTGAGCCCTCAATGTCCTGAAAAACTCCAGATGGATATGTTGGCAAGACCTTTGGTAGAATCACTGACATCCAGGTGTAGGAAATTGAACGCATTTGTGTTTCATTATTTTGATCCCACATTCCCATTCCCGTCGTTGAGACAGTGCACGCTTCTGTAATTAGATTTAGCATTTGAAATTTTGCTGAACAGCAGTAACGGTTGATTGACAGGAATTGTGCTCCTTCCTTTACTGTTTTACTTGGCCGTGTCCTCAACAAACCTCTTTTTGGTTTTGAGAAATTATGTTCTTTTCACCATCGTAATTCAACTCCCTCAAGCCGTGCTTTGTAAGACTTCCTTGCCCTTTAATTATTGTCCATCATGTCTCAAAAACTTGAAATTGATTCCAGCTTCAATGCAACCATAAAAACCATCAATCATGGCCACCAAGGTCCCAGACAGACAGTGTATTTTAGAAGCATTAGTGTTTGTTTTAAAAAGTACGGGGTTTTTTTGGGTGGCTTCTCTGTCCTTGACGTCAGATCGGATTCTTTTGGCGTGATTCACCCGAGATGGAATCTCATCCTCTCATTCGTCAGGCAGATTTTGATATTCAAGGACAAGTGCATACCTGAGATAACTCAGCCACGGTTGCAGCTTCTGTTGTTACTTTGAATGCGGCTCAAGGAGAAAATAGTCAGGAAACCAGGCGCTGATTGATCGCTTTAACACTTTAAGTGGACTTCAAGTAGAAATGCCAAACATTTGCTGGTTGTGGCTTTTCAAATGAGAGGATTTACTGCTTTATCTTTTCTTTTTTTTAACATTGTAAATTGTATATTTTTGGGATTTGGACTCTTGGTTGGACAGAACAAGATATCTGATGACATTTTCTTGGGCTCTACGATCTCACAACGGCATTTTTCACAATTTTCTGGCTTAAATGGATGAAACAATTTATTGATTGTAAAAAGCATTGACACAATAATCAATGCTGAAAATATTTAGCTGCAACCCAGAGAGACAAATATAAATAAATAAAAAGATGTTAAAAACAAAACAACAGATCTAAACTGTTGAACTAATGATAACATGTTCAGTCCGTTTACAGTTAGCGTTTCTGATGTTATTCAGTAATGAATGTGCTCAGTTTTATTTCGATTTAATCAAATTTTCATTTTTGGCAGATTTTAAGGACATAAACAAACATAACGACATATCAGTAAACTTAGTCTGTAATTTTCCAGAAAGACAAAAGTAGTTTACAACTTAATTTTAATTTGAGTTTTATGTGAAGACCTTAAGCATAATATACTGCAGCCGTCTTTAATTTCAACCTAAATAACAGTTTTGTGTGGCAGAGCGGCGTTGAGTCGCAGGCTCTATACATTCGTCACGAGAACGTCAACAAAGAGGCAGGCCGTGCACAAACCTGCCCCCTTAGCAATGAACGCTCAGGACCCCTTTTAGAGGCCTGTTTTTTTCTAGAGCACTAAACACCCTCTCCATTTACAATTAGTCATCTGAGGCTCTGCTGGCAGAGCCAAGGCATGCCCCAGAAGAAGCCTTCTGACAAGGTGATTACCTCAGACATCTAAAAGCTGCCCTGACGTGAGGGTAGGGGAATGTTAACGATTGCGCTGTATGTAATGCTGTCTACCTTGCAGTCTCAGACTCCCAGTGGCCTCCGAAAGCAGGCAAGTCATCCCTCCCATTGGGAATTCCACTTTTTCTGCCAGGATTTTTTTTTTTTTTAAGTTGGTGGGAAACCTTTTGCAAATTTCCGTTAGCAAGTGGACTGCTTCATACATGTGTATTCTTTGCTCTACAAACCTGTCTAGACTTCCCAGCAGCATTGCCAGTCATTTACGCGGCTCAGGAGTGACAAACAGTTCAAAGGAGAATAACACTCAGTTTTAATAAATCACACATGTTAATAACCATTCCAGTTTTCTCTGAACATGAACAACAATTAAAGAACTTCGACTCTTGTGTTTGTTGTTATAACAGCTGAAATACATCTGCTACTGTGTGTCAAAACTTTCACATCTGTAGGGTCAACATAAGGCTGCAGCCAGAAGCTGGTTAGCTTAGCTTAGCATAAAGACCTGAAACAGAGGGAAACATCTTGCCTGGCTCTGTCCAAAGGTAAAATCCACTCACCAGCATGGGCCTCGGTTTATATACAGATTAAACAAACAAGATATAAAAGATAATTGTTGAGCTTGTGTGTTGCTGGTAGGCAGATTTTGCAGATTTAGTCAGGCTAGCTGTTTTCCGCATGTTTATGTGGGCTGCAGCCATATATATAAGGTATGAGAGTCGTATCAGTCTTCTCATCTAACTCTTGGCGAGAAACCAAATTTACCTGCTTCCCAAAATATCAAACCTTTGATTGCTTTGATTTTCAACTGATAGTCGTTCAAAGAGTAACGAACACTCACTGTCCCAGTTAAAATTCACTGGTACAGGAAGTGACTCTCTGTCACGATCGCTGTCTTTTTGAAATTTAATAAACTGAAAGCAATAGCTGCGGCTCAGAGACGTTTGTTCTTGGGTTGTATTTAATAGCTGGCACATTTTACACCCGAAGTTCAGAGGAATATCTTCAGGGGATGCGTGTGCCTAAAGAAATGTGGCCTGTCTTGTTTTGCTCTGGGTCTGTGCTGACATGTTGTTCACCTGCGTTTTCTGGCCTCGACAGGTGTGTCAAACCCCAAGCACACACACACACACACACACACACACACACACACACACACACACACACACACACCTCTCTCTCAGCCCTGCAGCTGTCACTACTGCAGAGCATTCTGGGTAGAAAGAGAGGAGAAAGATTTTAGTGCTAGAGGGAGGCATATGTCTGCTCTGACCTTTTGAAAGCCACATTAAGAATTAACAGCAGGCTCAGTGCATGTGCAAAGTTGTGAGAAAACATGTGTGTAAAGGTACGACGGAGGGGGCCGAGAGGTCTGTAATGATGACTGAGCACGCCTGGTGCTTCCCTGTCAGCCCCCTCACTGAGATGTTAGGAATGTTTTCAGTCATGGCTGAGCAGTATGTTAGCAATTTAGGATTACCTCAATGTTATGAGAAGGGAGGAGGGGAGAGAATAAGGGTGGAGAAAGGGTTCAGGAGAAAGACAGAGATGGAGGGGGGAGGGGTGAGGGCGGGAGAGAGGGGGGGGTAGGGGGGGGGTGCTGAGAGTGAGGAGAGATTACCTTTTTGCTCACTATCTTGCATGGAAGTGGAAAATTCCAGCTGCCATGTAGTAAAAGAAAAAGATAGGCGTGTCCTGTCGGGGAAGAGGTTAAGAATGGCAGCCTGCAGCGATCTGAGTGGGTGTTGAGCAATCAACAAGGGAATCATGAGCAGCTCAAAAAGAGGCAGAGGACAAGTGAGGCTTGATCCAAGCAGAGAGAATTGTGCAAAAAAGTAATGATGAGAATAATAATTAAATCATGATTATACCCTTCAAGCAGAGGAGGATAAAAGTCACCTTCGTACATTACTTGAAGCCTGAAACGTGAAGAACTAAAACCTGATTTAGAACATAATGGCTACACACTTGGTTCAGTTTTTAGAGGTTCCTTTCCACAACAATAAAAGAGTGCTGCTCAACTTAAGTTTAAGATTTTGATGAGCCCAAAAATGACAACTGAGGAAAATGTATGTAACATTAGATCTGCGAACACTGTGGAGCGCCACAATGTAATGTAAAGAGAGCAGGAGGGGGATAATGTAGCAGCCTTTCTCTTGACACAGCGAAGAGAGGAAAGTCATGGCTCACTATGATTAGTCCTCTAGTTTTTATTCAAGCATGCATAAACTTGTATGACTGGATCAACAAGCGACTCTTGTCACTGTGTGTGTCACGGATTGCTTGACTGTGAATGTGATGTGAGGAATATAGCAGGCTTGATAGTGCATCCATTCCTTAGCGACATGTGACACATTGAAAAGATGATTAATTTATCTGTGTGACAGTTTCATTTTAAAATATATGCAGCTGTGGAGTGGATGTCCACGAGGGCATTAGTCTGCATGAAGGGGTTAAATTCGGTTGAAGTTAGCATCTAAGAATGCCACAATGTCTTTAAGTTTGCACTTGTGTTTATATGTGAATATGGAAAAAGTAATAAAAAAGAATGAAGAGACGGAGGGATCGGAAAGAAGTACAAGACAAGTCAAATGGAGTAATACGATGGCAACAATCAAAGATGAATCTCTATTCATGTTCAGTTTTACCAAGACATCACAAAGAGACACATTAGAGGAAACTAAAGTAAAGTGAGTTTTAGGG